TTGGACCTCCGACCGCCACTGGCTGTGGTGAAGCTCGCAGAGGGGTGGGTCCATCGTGGTGTCTGCATCTCTGGTGGCCCGCTCCTCTTGTAGGGTGGCTCGCACCCCCAGTTGCAGGCGGACCCCTCCCGCATACGTCACCCACGAGCCGGGGGGCAGACTCCGACGGCCCCCCACTCCAAACCGGGGCTGGGGGTTCTTCCTCAGTCTGCGTCCCCGTCTCCACTGAGCAGCGCAGGGGGCGGTCCCGGCCGCAGCGGCAGCCGTGGGGGCCCGAGGGCCCGGGGCCGCACTGGAAGGCGAGTCCGACTGGTCTCGTCGTTCTGGCTGGCCCCGCGACCCCGCCTTCGGCGTCGAGAGGGCACCGGCGGCGAAGGCTCACCCACGGCAGCCGACCGGGGGCGGGTCCGGGCGGCTCCCTCCGGAGGACCGGCAGGCGGGAGTGAGTGCTCCACGGGGAACTCGTCACCCCCCAACTCCCCGCCACTGGCGAAGACCTCCGGGACGTCAGGATCCTCCGCCCGGATCTGGGCGATGAGGACGTGGTCGCAGTGTCGGTGGTGCCGATCCCGCATGTCTGAGCGGTAGAAGCAGCGGCCACACCCCCGCCCACAGGTATAGGGCCGGGCGGCGAACAGCTCCGGGCAAGCCGTCCTTAGGTGTCGCCGCAAATTGGTCCGCTGACGGAATTCCCGTTTACAGTGGGGGCAGGCCAACCGGTCCATCTTGGGGAGAGAAACAGAGGGAGATTCAGGAGTTAGCGTGGAGCAGAATCCCCCTGCCTCCGGCTCGCACGGCAATGGCTCCGCCGGCGCGCTGTCTCCCTCGCTGCTTGCGTCTGAACTCTCCCCGTTCGACACGCCGCCGCTCCGGCCCGGGTGTCCCGACTTCGCCCCGTCAATAGGTTCCAGTGCGGTCCCTTCGTCAACGGGGGGAGACGGCCTCCGCGGGCAGGACTGAGGGCCGGATCCGCTGGCTCCTTGCCCCCCCTGCCCGCGCTGGCGCCTCCTCGGCCAAGGCTCCGCGGGCTGGGCGCTCCCACCATCCAAGCTGCACGTCGCCCAGGTAGCGCTTAAGCCGATTGCGATGCACGATCTGAACCTTCGCTCGGGCGGTACGCTGCACTTTGTAGGTTACGTCGTTGAGGCGTTGTAGCACTGCGAAGGGTCCGTCCCACCACCGCTGAAGCTTGGGGGAGCGGCCGACCATCTTCTTTGGGGTGTACTGCCAAACAGCCTGGCCGGGCTCGAACCCGCCCTCCCGGGCGCGACGGTCGTACTGCTGCTTCTGGTAGCTCTGAGTCCGCCTCAGGTGTCGCCGGGCAAACTCGTGGGCCCGCGTGAGTTTCGTTCTCAGCTCGTCGACGTAATTTAGTGGCTCGGTAGTCTCCATCCGTGCCTCCGGTAACCCCACAACGACGTCCAGGGCAAGTCCCACCTCCCTCCCGAGCATGAGCATGTTCGGGGTGAGCCTGGTGCTATCGTACTGAGAGGAGCGGTAGGCCATCAGGACGTAGGGAAGATGTTCGTCCCAGTCGTCCTTATTCTCATCCACAAACATGCTCAGCATGGTCTTCACGGTACGATTGAGCCGTTCGACCATGCCATCAGACTGGGGGTGGAACGGAGTCATCCTGGTCTTGTGGATGCCCAACAACTGGCAGACACCACGGAACAGGCCCGCCTCGAACTCCTGCCCTTGATCCGTGTGGATCTCGAGGGGTGTCCCGAAGCGCGTGATCACCTGCTCTACAAGGGTCTTGGCCACAGTCTGGGCCGTCTGATCCGGAAGGGGAAACGCCTCCACCCACTTTGTGAAATAGTCCTCCACTACCATTATACTGGTGTTTCCGGCCTTGGTTCGGGGCAGGCGTCCGATAAGGTCAATGGCAATCCGCTCCATAGGGGCCCCCACCAGGTATTGTCAAAGCGGAGCTCTCCCGGGACGCGGTGGGGACTTCTTAGAACCGCAGAGATGACACTTCTGGCACCACTCCTCAGCCTTCCGTCTCATCTCCCTCCAATACACAGGAGCCTGCCTGAGTCGGGCTCACCTCGACCCCCGAGGTGTCCAGCAGTTCGGTGGTTGTGGGCAAGAAGTAGAACCTCTGGCACCCTGGCCTGCGGGACGGCGATCTTCCAGGTAGGGGCCCCCCGTCGACCCTTGCCCACTTCACCTGCAAGACCCCTCGGAATAGGTACAGTGGGTCCCATCTGGACCACCAGCTTTTGACCCCGGCGCCAAGGTCGGAGCTGTCCTCCCATTCAGGCCGGTCGCT